TTATATTAGGGATATTTTAAGGGCAATTGGGAAAACAAGGCTATGCTGTTACATGTGCAAATCAATTAAATGGGATGTTGTAATAGGTGAGTTGAGCTGGTCATGATGTGACATGGTTAGTTGAAAAACCATTAAGTACTGTAGCTTGTGGCTTCCTTTCTATCCACATGAAGTGTTTTTGAGTGAAAGGTTTCATAAAACTGACTTCTATAGAGATCACCCTAATCCATCACAGTGCTTGATCAATTCTGCTGGGCCATTTCTGCAAATAAGAGTCGCAGAATAAGAATGCACAGAGCATGATTTGGTTAATGCTTGGATTTTCTGTGCTTGCTCATGGGCACCAGTGTATTCACTGACATCTCTCTTGGCATCTATCACCCACTTTCTTCATCTGATGTCATTAAAAAAAATCAAACAGCAAATCACTGGCCCTATGCAAAGCCTGTATTTCCCCAGATACATCAGGGGTTCTATGGCATTCACTAGATATTCTTAGAAAATAAAATGAAGAATGCCTGTGAAAAAGAAATGCTGTCCTCAGTGATGGCCTTCTGTAAGGTGGTAAAAGGTCATACTCTTCTGGAGGGCCTTTGGGAAGTGGTTCAGTGCCATCTAAAACTGAATGGTCTTTGTTTATTTCTTAATTGATTACCATTGTGGGGTTCTTTTCCTTACTTTGACCTGCTGATATTATAGTGGTTTTATTGTTATATTTTGTTGTAAGAGAGGAGGAGGAGGAAGGAGTATTAGGTGTTTGCCACCTTGAGTTATTTATAAATATAATAAAGGCGGGATAAAAAAATCTAAAAAAAATGCTATGAGTTTATTATGATTCAGTGCCATGCAAGATGGAAAGACATAGCTAAATTGAGATAATAAAGGACATCCTGGGAGTCTGGAAGGGATGGTGGGGAATCACCTAACTTATTATCCTCTTGGCAGGCTGATATCTGGCCATGCCCATAACATGTTATCAACATTTTGAATATATCCCAAGTACCTCTGATTTAGAGTTTACTTGCAGAATAGATATTCTAGCTTGCTTCTTTCTTAACTAGCTAGGGTCATAAATGATTTATTATAAATTTAGCTTGTAAAGAGCTCCTAGTTTGCATGCACTGATAGATGAATTGCTCTGGTTTGGTGATCCTGAGGAATCAAGCAGAAGCAGTTGCGTGCATAGGCTAAGCTAATACGTCATTTGTTTATTCTGAGCCAGAATAGCTGAAAACACATCCAGTATTGCTTAAGATGTTTAAAATAATCTAACAGTATTCTGATAATTTACAGATTTATTATGATAAAAGTTTTTGTAATGTCATATGAAGAATACCATAAATTCAGAGTGAGGTTAAGTATTGTGTTTGCTCTAACGTACTGACAAGTGTAAGACAATAGAATTATGTCTATTTTACAGCTGTTTTTGACAGCACCAAGGCTGAGAAATAACAGATACACATCTTTTCTTTGTACTTTCTCTGCATCTGGCTTATGGGAAAGATGAATTCTGGGATGATGGTTATTTTTTTTTCTACTTATAGCTTACCATTTTTTTGGTGAAAGGCAAGCTGTGGCGGCTGTTAATGTACATACTTAACAGTACAGCAAAATAATGTAGTGAAAAAAATGTGTGTACTCTTAGCAATTGATTGCAGTATAGTAAAGACAAACCTGACAACTTAAAAATCTAATTTGCTGCTCCCAGTTGAGTGGCAAACTGGGAAGGATTCTATATGTCATGTATCTTGTGGGGTCAGCTTTCATTATTCAAGCCTGGCCATCAGATTTATTCCTTCCAGTTGAAAACAGGAAATGCCTGTTAAAATACATAAGAGACTGGATTCTCTTGGATCTGGCTGTGACTCCTCTGTGTGATGTAGTTGGTGAATATCACTAGTATATTTTTAACAGTGTATCTTTGGTAGAGGGTATCTGTGTTGTCAAGATTCCACCTACATTTTGTGACACAGAAGCTGGAACAGTCCCAGAGAGCATAGTGTCACCATATTTGTAATGTTGTGCTTCAGCTGCTGTCACTGTGACCTTAGGACTGTGGCTTCTGTGGCTTGCTAGAATGACTGGTAGAGGGGCAGCTCTGGATCGCACCATCAGACTGTTGCCCTGATTTCATGCAACTGATATGTGGAAGGTTGGTCCACTTTCCTTAAACTGATGACATCTTCCCCCGTCTCCAGATGCTTTTCCAGCCTCCCTTGCACAGAAGCCAGCTTGCTCAATGGAATGCTGCATTCCATGGATGCTCGTGTCTAGCTAGCTTTGTGAGCTCAGTGGTGGGCGGGAGGGAACGAGGCAGCCATGACCACTGCACCAGAGAGGCTGAAAAAGTTGTTGAGATAAAGATTTTGTCAATACAGACTGTTCTGTTCTCTCCGCTACAGCAATCTCTTGCTTTGGGGAGGAGTCCTAGTGTGCTTCACCAGTTTGGCACACAGTGCCTGGCGCTTCTGAGGTCCCTCAGCAGGGTTTTGGATGCTCTGTGCTAAATGAATCGGTATTCTGCAAAAAGCATATAAGACTCTGCAGTCTATGGAAATGATGTAAATTTGCATACAGTTTGGCATGAACTATCATAACATGTTTTTAAATGGATACAACATGTTGATTACGTATGAAACTATGTGATGTGTCTGTACTGAGTGGGGAAATGAGGGCAGCAACTGTTTATTTAACTCCTGCGTTAGCCTGATCTGTATCAATTTTGCAGATTCCTGTCTCGCCTTCTCCACCACCTTTGAGCTGCTTGAGAAAGTCTACAGAAGAGACTTGAGGAGTGGGAGGTTTGTTTCAAGGGGCATAAATTGACAAGTGGTTGCATTGCTATTTATTAACCTCTTCTACTTGCATGTTCCTGGGCAGCTTATATGCAGGTCTAGAAGGAGGTAATCAGCCTTTAACTTAGTCATGGTTAAATGATGTTTATCTTACATGCTGTCTGTAGTTTGGCTGCATTCTTGGACATACTCAATTTTTTACTATTTACAAGGCCATGTATACAAAATGATGGCCTCTAAAGAAGAAAATCATAGTCTACTAATTTTTCTTGCTGTTTTTTATAGTCCAGATCATGTATTTTCTTTTTCCCTCTTCCCAGCCTAGTTTTATTCTGGCCCTTGGATATGTTTCTAGTAGTGTTTGTCACAGTCCCATCTAGCTCTTGTAGCGATTAAGGATTTTTCTTGTTGGGCTGAAAAGCAGAGGTAAGCCGTGGTTTGAATTGACAGGAGGTGTAGTGACTGAGTTTTGAAGTTTCAGTTTGAAATACTGCTCTGGGACTCATTTGTGATCAGGATTACCTCCACCCTTTCCTATTTTAATAACAGAATATTGCAGGAATTTGTAGGCCTTCCAAAGAAAAAGGAAAGGGCTTATTAAACTCTCCCCAGTGTCTTAATAGCAGTGTCTCTCTGGGTCAGGTGACCAGGAGTGAGTCTTAAGAATGGATTTTGAGCCACTGCCCACCTTCCTTTTCCATCGGGATACATTGGGGGAAAAATCTCTAGATTGTTTTCTCTACAGCCTCTGGCCACAAATTGCCAATTACCAAACTCAGATTTTCTTTGGCCAGCTTTTCCTCACATCCCAGATTTGATCCCGTTCTGTTACGGGTTTGGAGAATTATCCTGCTGATGGACTCGTGAGCTTCACTATGTAACTTCTTTGCAATGTTCCTAGGGTTAGAAAGTAAAAAAGCATATCCGTTGTAAAGATACTGTGTGGCCCTTGGGTATCAGGCAAGAAGCAAGGTTGCCCACCCTTGTTAGAGAGCTCTAACAAGAGCAATAGTTTCTGAATTTAGGGAATATTTGTGCATCTGCTTCTGGAGATTCAATACATGGTCAGCTAGATGAGGTAACACATTCATAGTTGATTTTCATTTAAAGGATGTGTGGTTCTCCCTCTTCCAGTTAGGCTTCTAATAACACTACAAGGTAGTTGGGCATATGAGCGTGGTTCACCCCTTCTCTCCAGACGTTCACTGGATGATCTGATGGAAGAATGGAATCAACTTGCTCCCCCTTCCCTCCCACTTGTGCAGTGGAAAATCTGAAGCGGACTTGTACGGATGAAGGGCGCTACTGCTTCAGTAAAAATGACTGGGACTTAAATTTTCACAGTTTAGAAAAATGAGATAGTGGTAGTTCTTAGTCATCCTATAGTGACTGCCACGTGCTTGGCACAGCTGAATTCTGGCCTTCCAGAGCCAGGCTCCTGGCTTCTTTTGTATAGAACAGTTTGTTGTTCTGCTGCTCTATGCAGATGGTGTCTGCTGCCAGATGGCTCGCTCACTTGTACTTCCTTCAGCAGTCATACCTAAAGATGACATATGGTGTAGTCAGGTTGCCCGATTTACACCAGTGAGCCGTTCTTATGGTATACTAGTAGTTCTGGATTGGAAAGTGCAAAGTTTTATTTAAAAGGTCCTTTGAAGACAGATATCTACTGAGTTTAATAATTAAAAATGAGACATCTGTATACAGTATTTGTTTATTCCTTTTTTCTCCCAGTTTGCAAAATGATTGTTTCACCCACTCAACAATTGCATTGTTAGATTCGTTAATCTTGTGTGAAAAGTTGTTTGGAATTTAGAATGTTGCCTAGTTAAGCAAGGCTTGGCAAATAATTGGCCTAAATAGAAGCAGATGTTGTAAATATGCAGTTTGCATAGTGAACTTGAGAAAAGCATTTTCTGAATTTGTATGTATCTGATTTCATGCTGAAAGTGTGGAAAGGGAACTCCAGAGAGTGGCAGTTCTTAAAAGGCTAGTAGCTTGTGTGGGGAGGAAAGCTTAGGTACAGTTGTAGGCCAGGAGTTCTCAAAGTACAGCCCGCAGGCCGGATACGGCCCGCCAGGGTCATTTATCCAGCCCACCTGCCTGATTGGCCACCGCTGCTGTCTGTCAGAAGCGGAAGTGTCAGGGCTGTGTCAGGAGCTGCAGGCAATGCACGAGGAGGGAGATCGCAGAGCCGGACTATTCTACATGACAGGTATGCCGGGTCCAGCTGCTCTCCTCCTCTCCTCAAACTGTAGTCTGGCCTCCCATCATTCTGAGGGACCGTGAACTGGCCCCCTGTTTAAAAAGTTTGAGGACCCCTGTTGTAGGCTATGGTGCCTTTCTGTTCTCAACTTTGGTTGTTACCAAGCCATGTATGAGCAGGATGCCTATATTATGCATCTTGGACTTCATACTGCCATTTAGGGTCTGTGGTACAGCTTTTTCATGGTGCCCATGACTCCATTGCCTCCTCTCCACTTGACTGGTCCCCCTTCTGACCTGACAGTATTGCAGCCACTGCTAATTTCTTGTTAGATTCTGTCCTGTGTAACCAATAAGCAGAGATTCTTTGGTGTAGAAACCAGAGCTGCTGAATCAGTAGGAGGTCATCTCCTGGTGCTGAGCAGATTCTGGTACCACTGCTTTGCGAGGAGCAGAACTGGTCAGGAAATCCTCCTTTTCCCGCCAGGTCCAATGATGATAGAGCCATCTCAACCAGAGTATTGAACTCTGGCTTGTGCAGTGAGATGACTCTGTGATTGCTGGGACTGATACCAGCGACAGCATTGGAAAGGCAGGAGCAGGCAGGAATTTTTAAACCTATGGGTGGGATTGGGACACAGATTGTGTGTATGTACATATGACCTATGGGGTTCCAGTTCCAACAGGCTTTGGGGGAAAAAAAATTACCCAACATTGGTCTCTAGTGATCACTTGTCTCCTCAATATCACAGTACCTAAATTTAGAGATAAGTAATACAATCTCCTATTGATTTTTTGTGGTGTACAAATGAAAAATAAAAGAAATGGAGTTTAAGGCTTGCATTAGGCTAAACTGGACATTTAAGTTTTTTTTTTTTTTTAACCCATCCTAAAGTGGGGCAGAGAAAACTGAAAATCTCTCTCATTCCCATAGCAATATTGTTGCATCATCACCCTGTCTCCTGTAGCTGCCAGTTGCCAAATAACTTTTAAAATTAAACAATTGTCCTTGGCCGCATAGCTACACTCACTCCTGCCCCATAAACTTTTAGAAAAATAATAGACACATAACAGATGCAGGCCTTCTTCTGTGAGCCCCCTGAATCTGAAATTCAGGGGGTAGCCAGGGAAAGGGCTTTCTTAATAATGGCCCTTCCAGCTGAGGTGCATTTCCTGGTATGATGGTTGGGTTGTTTCTGTATTAGGTTAAAACCTTTCTCTTCTCCCCATGTCAGCCCTGCTAGGCAGACCAGACTAGGAGATCAACTCTCCAGGAAGGGTAAAGCTACTTTGATTGAGGTTAGCTATAATAACAAAATCTTACAGGTCTGATTGTGCTGTTCCTCCTCCTCCTCCTCCTCATAGTTCACTGAATTAGGGAGGTTTCTGCCTGAGCCACTTCCAAATGTTATCTCATATTTGTGGACTTAAAAATGGTTTCAATCCCTTTTACCTAGGGAACAGTTCTTGCATATCTCCATCAAGGTCATCTTCCTTACTTTCTACACCCAGGCTTTTAAATGTGTAATTATTTTAGTTGGTGTGCAACACTGGCCAATTGTTTTTAACTCTTGAGTTTTCACTGAATTCATATCGCAAGTGTGAATATTTGAATTTTATTCTGAGGCTCTTTTTAAACATATTGTTAGATTTTTATAGTACATAGCCATTTTGTAGATTAATCAGTAGGGTACCTAGAGAGACATACAGTGAATATAATGACAATATGTCATCTTGTTGAACTATTTCCAACCCAAATGTGTATGCATTTGTTTTCCTTCAGCTCTTTCCCCAATCCTGCTGCTTGGACCTCCATTTTTTGGTGATGTAGTTTGGGATTAAAATATTGTCACATTTGACCAATGCACTTGACAGTAGTTCCACTGTCTGGTTTTGCCTTGACTTGGCAATGTTAGTCCTGCTTTGAGGCATGTGAATTTTTACAGTTACTCAGCAGAGGTTGATTGTAAGGTAGGAAGCTGAGTGAGATGATGCTAAGAGCAAAGAGGGGGGGAAAAAAGGCTTGTGACTGAGCTTTGGACTCAGGCTTGCCAAACTTCAGAGTCAGTTTGGTAATAGCCATGGTTGCTGCCATATTAGATTTATTTAGACAGCCCTGGAAAGCAGCAAAAGCTATAGGCCTAAGGGTGCTTGTTGGTCTTGAATTAGAAATTTAGCCATACATTAAGCTGTGATTTATTTACCTGGTTCATGTTATGGTGAGATATAAACCATGGTTTACAGTGACTGGGTTCACTCATTTTACTAGATGCATCCTTATGGTTTGATGACAGTGAAGATCAAAAACTGAGAGTGAATGCAAAGAAAAGGATGAGTGTTTGGGTTTCATTGCTAGAAATGTTTGATCCTTTGATTTGTTCCATTATCAAGCTTTGCCAATTTGTGCTGATGAGAATTTACCAGGATGAGTTTTGCAGTTATCTCAGGTGAACCCACAGAACTATTTCTGATTATTTCTTCCCTGGTTCATTTGGTAACCTTCTGTGGCCTGGCTTTGCAATGAAGTCATGAGTCGCTGTTTGTAACATACCTTGTTGCTATGGGAAAGGGGTGCCATTATTGTGTATCCTTATTGTGACATCATTATTCAGGAGAGATCATGAGAGGTCTAGAAAAAGCCCTGGATTAAAGGCTGGCTGAAAATGTTATTGAAAGTCTAGCATCAGATAAACAGGTGTTGACTCTCTCTGCCTTATGGATGCTTTTTTCCCCCAGTTTTCCTTTTAATTCTGAAATCTTTCAGCTTTTCCTGACAGTTTCTTAAATTTGGTGTCCCCTGAAATTTGATAAGTGTTTGCCAACTTGCATTTTTGGCATCTTTTGGACATTCCCACTGGGAACCAAGCTTCTACAACAGGAAAACTGTGGTCTCCAAATATTGCTGAGCTCAAACTCTCAGCATACCTCCCAACTGACTCTTGGAAGGCCCCTGGATTCTCCACCACTGCTGTTCTTTGGAAGGCAAATCTTGCTTTGGAACAATAGTAGTGAATTATGAAAATTTGCAGATAGCTGAGCTGCTTGTCATTGTAGTGATTTATGACTAATACCCTATAAGAACATAAGAATAACCTTAGATAAACCTTAGATCAGGCCAATACTCAACTAGTCCAGCATTTTGTTTCTTAACAGTGGCCAACTGGATGTCTCTCAGGTGCCCGCAGGCATACTCTCTCTTGCCATTGTTCTCCTTCAACTGGCATTTGTAGGCACAATGTCCCCAACCCAGAAATAACATTGAGTCTTCAAAAACAATTGCTCTTGGTAGCCTGTCTTTCAGGAATTTATCCAATTCCCTTTTAGAACTATCCAAGTTAGTGGCCATCACCGCATCTTGTAATGAATTCCAACAGTTAGTTGTGTGCTATGTGAGGAAGTGCTTGCTTTTGTCTGTTCAAAGTGTCCTCCAGATCAATTTCATTAGATGATCCTGGCCCTAGGGTTTGGAGAGAGGAGAAAAAGCTTCTCCCGGCCCATTTTCTCCATGTCATGCATACTTGTGTGCACCTCAATCATATCTCCCCGCAGCTGCCTCTTTTTCTAAGCTAAAAACTCCCAAACTTTCTTCCTTTTCTTGTAAATTCAAGACTCCTTGTTTTAGCTACCCTCTTCTGCACTTTTAAAATCTGCATTATGTTCTTTTCCAAACATAATGTCCCAAACTGTACATTGTGTTCCAAACGCAGATGAGATATGTACAAGGGTATTAACAGTGTTGGTGGTTTGATTTTCAGTCCCTTTTTAATGACCCTTAGCATTAGCATGGAATTTGCCTTTTTCAAGGCTGCCATGCTTCATTGATCTATTTACCATGACTTCAGGATCGTTTAGTTACAGACAGCTTAGACCCCATCTTATATCTGAATGGGGAAGGCAAGTTTGCCCCCAGTGTGCTTAATTTTACTCTTAAATTAAACCACATTTGCCATTTGGTTGACCATTCACCAGTTTAAAATGATCCTTCTGGGTTTCCTCACAATCAGTTTAGGCTTTCAATACTCTGAACAGTTTGGTATCCTCCACAATCTGGGCCAGCTCATTGTTTACCCCAAGTCAAAATAATTCATAATTCAAAATTTAAAAATTCCAGCAGAGAACCTTGAGAGGTTCTACTTCCCTTCTCTGAAAAAAAAGTCTCTCCCTATTTTTTGCTTTCCTTGTTTTGAACAAATAGCAATCTATATATGAGCAAGCCTTCCCAGATTAGCTGTTAGAAAGATGTTTAAGTTAGCATTTCCCCAAGGAATTATGGTATGTAGAGATGTGTGGCATAACTGAAAGTGATTTTAATGTTTCTTGCAGGTTCCCTTTATTTAAGTTTAGGAGAATAGATCTACTTTTTTCTATCAGGTGTTCTGCTTCCTTAGTACACATTGATAGTCTGTGGCTTCCGTGCTCCAAAACTGAATCTTTCCAGAGACAGAAAAATGAATATCATTTAGAATTGATATTCTAAATTTCTGCACCAGTCCCTCTTTATTTCTCTTCATTTTGCATAATTTCAATTAAATTGTGAATCTGTAGGCCGGGAGTATCTTACCTTTAAAATCTGTATAGCATATATGGCCATGCCACTAAGGGTTATGGAAGTTGAAATTAGCACACCTACAGTCACCAAGTTGCAGAAGACACTTAATACACACTTCTGCCATTATGTAAAGTATCTTTTTCCTAGTATGCCTGTCTGTCTCTCTTTGGTGTCCTTCATTCATTTCATTTATTTAAAGACTGACTGTTTTTAATTTCTGCTCTCAAAATTGCAGTTCTTTGTAACAGGATTGATTCCCTCTGACTTGGTTGCATGTTTCCTGTTTCTTTCAGTAAGAGCAAGGAGAATAAAAAGGCACTGTAAAACTGAAAAATATTGAAGGATTTTAAGGAGCGCCAGTGTAGGTAAAGAGAAGGATTTTATCCCACCAATGCAGTGGAGTGACTCACTGCATAATCTGAACAGTCCCCCAGATGATAGTATCCTTTGGTGTCTTTTTGGCTTACAGCCCCAGGGCCTGATGATAGTATCCTATTTTCTGTTGGTGATGCAAAAAAGATGGCATCTGCTTTTTTTCCCCTTGGCCTGCAGAAACCATGGCGAGCCCAGCAAAAGAGAACAATTACAGAATGAAGAGTTACAAAAACAAAGCTTTGAACCCAGAGGAGATGCGCCGGAGGAGAGAAGAGGAGGGGATCCAGCTACGCAAACAGAAACGGGAGCAGCAGGTAAGGGATCTGTGGCCAGTCAGGCAGCCTCGCTAGTTGGTGCCTCTTTTGACTGCCCACTCAAAGGTCTGGAGTTTGGTAGAAGTATTACTGCCTTGCTTAAATAGATTGTTTGCTGTTTCCATTTTTGGCTTATCTTATACTTGGTAGTCAGTGCTTGGAAGAATAGCAAAATAGATAATAAAGGCTGGAGTGTCAATTGGCTTAATCATTAGTGTTCAAATGATTAAGATGTAAACGTTTGACCAGCAGGATCATAGCACCTTGTTCTTTGAGTGTGTATTACTTCTGGTACTTTGCTACAACAGGAAATGAGAGAAGGCAATTAGAGAATTGTTCCTTATAAATAATAATAAAATTAAACTAAGATTATCTCTGGTTTTGGTATCATAAAAGGAGGTTGGAAAACAATAAAAATGCAAACAAATTAAGCCAAGTGAAATCATTTAAATATTTTTTAATTTGTGAACAACTATAATAAGCTGACTGTTTTTGTGCAATACTGTAGAGTGGGCTGAAGGTTGTTCAGGATCTGCTAACAAATTTCTGTATAAGGCTGTACATCACTAAGGGTTTCTGACTCTCAGCACTAGAATTCCCCTCATCCCCCAGCACACTGGTCCACTTGCTAGGAAAAATGTTTGCTTGATAGTGAAAACTGAAGGTAGCTTTGTGGATGATAGGGTCATTGAGGATAGTTCTGGGCTGAGCAAGTGCTCAGAGGCACCTTGGCGCTTAATTGTTAATGTATGTGCTCTCTGTAAGCTCTATTTTATATCTTGTTCTAGTTGATCTTCAGATTTTATTAAAAAGAAAGAAAGCAGATGCTATAAGTCTGTTGACACTTGGTGCAAGGCACTCGTATTTTCTGTTAGATTCTTTGCCTCTTAAAATTGTGTGTGTCTGTATAAATTTAATATACATTTTATATGTCATTTATTATATACAGATTGATACTTGAAGTGGTAATTACTGTTTAGGATAGTGAAGCCATAAAAATGATTTGGAGTGACTTGAGTAAAATGGGTATGTCCCTCTGAATTTGTAGATCATGAATGCCAAGCCAGGATAAGTTTTGCCCTTTGTTACTACAAGTGTGACCTGAGTAATAGTGGTTTGGGAGATCAAAGATGGTGCCACCTGGTAACACTATTAAGAATAATTAAGTGCTGGAACCTATTATGTCATGCTGCTGTTCAATTAAGCCGTAACATTATGGAATTTGGTGTATACAAGTCCTTGCCTTTAGAACTGTAACTTAAAAGATCTGATATCTGCAAGTGAGAATTGGAAAATGGGGTACTGCTTGATGAAACATCTAAAGCTGGGATGGTGAGAAATGTTGGGGTACAACTCTGAAGTGCAGAGGAGGTACTCAGCAACCTGCAGGTGACGGCTTATAGTCAATGTTTGATTTGTTCCCCTGTGATTTCATTCATTTTCCATTGCAGCTCTTTAAAAGGAGAAATGTGGAGCTAATTAATGAAGATACTACTATGTTTGATAGTCCCCTCGTAGATTCCTCGGTCAGCTCTACCACTGGTGGTGTAAGTAGAGATAGCATGTTTCTTTCTTTCTTCTCTTTTTTGGTCAACATCAGTAAGACTTGTGCAGATATTAAGAAACTTAAATGCACTTTGTAAATTTTTTCTGCCTCAAAAGCTCAGGAAATCAATCCACTAGTTTTCATTTTGAGCATTTGCAATCAGGCTGGGGCCAGAAAAAGGGATTTATTTATTTATTTTATTTATTTTCAGACTTGTATGCCGCCCATCTCCCCCAACGGGGAGCATTTATGGGCTACACCTAATTGTAGGGCCTCAGGTTCTCCATCCCGGGGCTAGGTGAACCAATAATCTGCTTTGGTATAATATACCTTATTGTGTCTCTCTGAAGGTTTTTGAAAGAACTTCCTAGGATTTAGATTTTTTTCTTCTTAACCCTACCCTGGGATCTTCTCCTCTGAAGACTATAATAGTCCTGACTTAAATCTGAGATTTGAGAATTGCTGTGAAAGGTGGGCTTTATATTTGGTGGTGGATGGATAAATATCTGATCTTTTCAGGAGGGTGTGATCACAATGGAGATGGTGAAAATGTTGTTCTCTGAAGATCCTGATCTTCAGCTAGTAACTACACAGCGGTTCAGGAAGCTACTTTCAAAAGGTACATTCAACTGTGACTCTTAAGTAGAATTTGCAGTAACTTTGTATTCGTGCTTTTAAGAAGAGTTTGTGAGTTTAACTCAGTGTTTCTGTTAGGCCCTCAAGTTACATTTATTGTTGAAATACTTTGCCAAAAATGTTTAGAAACTTCCTATGTGTGGGTAGACTGAATAGATGAAATCCAATAGCTGGAGCAGGATATCTGAGCAGTTCATTTTTTAACTCACCCAAGTTACAAATCACTTTATTTAAATGTATTAAATTTCAGCAGTTAAATCTTGGGGTGCCAAATAGTGTGTTGCAAACTTATATCTGGCTAAACATGGATAATATGCAAGCATACACTGTGATATACAGAATCACAGCTTCAACTGGGCATGCAGTTAGTTGGAGAGATTAAATGTGAATATGGTCATATTGACTGGCCATGTCACTGACCTTTGCTCTTTTTTTTCTTAGAGTGCTTTGCACAAACTGCTGGTTTTTTTGAAGTCGCCAAGGACCAGAGGAAGCGTGGCTGAAATAGTGTGGCTAGCCTGTTTTTTTTTAAAAAAAAGGATGGGGGCACTTTAGGCATTAAGTCTGCCAGAGGACATATATATCTATTTTAAGCTTTATTTTTGAAAGATAGCAAATTACGTTCCAAAAATGGGGAGATTGCCATGAAGTTTCAGCTACGTGATCCTGTTGGCCTTAAGAGACTGTAACAATGGTACCAGGATGCAGGTCACAGGTTATCCATCACTGAGAACCTCCACTTTCAAAAAGGAATGAAGGAAAATGTTAAAAGGGTGTTAACTGCTTACACAGTCAATGCTGATGGCTTTTCCCCACTTTTGAGCAAGCGCTTTCCAACCATTCTTGATTTGGCAAAAATCTATACTGAAAAGAAATCCTGCCTCTGTTGCCTCTATTCACAGTCACTGCTCTTCTCTTCAGGTTAATTGGTGACAATCTCAACAGATTCTGTACACCTTGAGGCTGTCATTTGGGCAATGTTGGAATAAGTGGGGAGAGCAATACTGTAAATAAACATTGTACAGTTAAGGATGACTTAAGTCTGTCTCATTCATGGGCCAGGATGAAATGAAGGTAACAGCGGGACACAACTGAAAAAGCTGTGGCCTGGGCATGTTTGCACAGGGTTATGTGCAGGTTTGGATTTTGATAGTCACCACCTCCCTCCCAAACTATGAGGAAACCTTATCCGATATTGTTTGGTATATATTTAACTTTCCCTCCCTCCATTTTTTTTCTTTTAGAACCCAATCCTCCAATCGATGAGGTGATAAGCACTCAGGGAGTTGTGGACAGGTTTGTTGAGTTCCTCAAGAAAAGTGAAAACAGCACATTACAGGTAAGAGGATGGTTAATCCACAGAGGCCAGTTGTTTCTCTAGAAATCACTTTGGCTTGCTCTTTGAAGATTTTAATAAACTTTACAGCTTATTCTATCTTTGTCATCCTTATGTCTGTGATTCAATTGACCAAACACATCTCACTACAAGCAGACAATGATACAGTAATTTAATACAAACTATAATGTACTGTTTGGCATATTGTTCATGGGCTTTCATTAGAGTAGTAAAATGGGTTCTCACTAACAGAAGGTCATGCTTCAGGGGATATTGCAGGATTTCTTAGTTTAGCCCAAGCAGCCACATGTAAAACCAAGTAATTTCATGTTTATTTAAAGAAAGTTCTGTTCCACTGTTCCCCTCCCAAAAAATATCACTCAAAGTATCAAATCAATAACCAATCAATGAAAGTACAAGGAGTGCCTCACACTCAAAGGACTGTAACTAAGGATGAAAGAATTTAATTAAAAATAATGCGTTAAGATTCCTAAACATATGTCAGATCTTCTGGATATTGAAATGCAGAAACACTGGACTTCTGGGGAAGAAATGGTGGACTGAAGATGGCTCCATGAAAAGCAAGCTGACAACTGCAGAGGAATGAAGAGCCAGTGAGTAGACTGGCTCTTCATAATTCCTTTCTGGACAAGGAGAAGACTTCAGATTGCCCACAAGTGCTCTAGACAGCTATTCGTTGTGAGGAGACTGCAAGACAGTGCTCTCCAGTGGGTTTAGAACTCTGAGAGATGAGGAAATAGCCATCTTGCTCAAACTGCGGTCAGTGCCTTCAAAAGGACACTGGGTCCACATACTTCCTTTTCTAATCACTTTTGGACATTGCATGTTCTGCTTTTCAGCTACAGGGAACCTTTGGATTGACAAGTTTTACATTGCTGGGTGAGTTTCCTTCAGTCCTTATTGAAAAAAGTTTTAACTACAAATTTAAGAACTTAAAACATTTTTTTTTTTAGAATAAACAGCAAAAGGGTGATAACTTTAATTTTAGAAAGTTACAAACAGACTAAGGTTCCAAATAAATTTGAAATAAGATTTTGGAATTAATTATAAAGAATCCTTCCCACTCTAGTGTCCAATTTTTAAAGCATTTTCCCATGGGAAGGATTCTTTAAGCAAAAGGGTGATAACTTCAATTTTAGAAAGTTACAAACAGACTAAGGTTCCAAATGAATTTGAAATAAGATTTTGGAATTAATTATAAAGAATCCTTCCCATGGGAAAATGCTTTAAAAATTGGACACTAGAGAGAACTAGAAGGAACTAAAGATTACAATTAAAGGAGAAGAACACTTAAACTCAACTTAGAATTACAGAATGAAGCAAAATATTTTAACATTGGATATATCGAAGGATATTTTTGAACAATGAACCCAGGAGTTAATTTTAACAGTGTCTGCCTCTATAGATAGACTGTGTTTAAAAGACATTATGGAAGAGGGAACAGGTTTTACCTGACAAGATCAAGACTGAGTTGAAAGTGGATTTACAAATGACAGGCTACAAGAATGACATGGAAAAAGATGTTACACTGGACATACAAAAGAAACCAGCTGATGTTTTAATAATTAAAAGGAATGTGCAAGCAATAAATCAAGGGAGTGACCTGGATAATTTTCCTAGATTGGATTTACAAAAGAGGCTTGTTAAAGTTTTGAAGAATCTTGTGAAAAGGGACAAAAAATGAAAAGAAATCAAGTTCTATGAAATTATTTGAATGGACTAAATATTAAGATTGTTAGAAGTAAAAGGAAGGAATATAAAGTCGGTTTATTTGATCAAGGTTAACATAGATACGTTATTTCTGGTGACCCTTAATGGACTTTTGCTGACACCAGGACTGATATGACAAGGCTTCATGGATTTGTTTTTATATAGGAGATGGAATATGGGAAGAAAAGTTCATTTGTTATATGTGGTGATAAGTTACTAAAATTGTTTATACTTGTGATGAACGAGGTGATAAGTTACTAAAATTGTTTATACTTGTTGTGATGAACGAGGAAGTCCCTTCTTTATATATTTCTTTTCTTTTTCTTTACTATATTATTTTTTCTTCTTTCCTTCTCTTTTTATTTTTTTTCTAGTTCATATTAGTTTTTACTGTTATAATTGTAATCTTTAATAAAAGTACTATTAAAAAAAGAAATGCAGAAACACCAATGTATAATTGTCTCAAAAATCTGCAAGTTATACTTTGAGTTACAGGTATTAGAAGTAGGCATGAAGTTAGAGTCCTCCTTTAAAGAGAGGGTATTTTGCTAAAGGGATATGTGGGTTAGGAATTCTTCCTTATTAGTTCTTTATTCCTGAGTAAATATAGGGTACCAGTCTTTTCAAGGTATGTACATTAATTTGTTGTTGTTGTTCAGTCATTAAGTCGTGTCCGACTCTTCGTGACCCCATGAACCATATTGCACCAGACCTTCCTGTCCTTCACTGCCTCCCTGAGTTTGCTCAGTTTCCTGCTCATTGCTTCAGTGATGCTATCTAACCATCTCATCCTCTGCCGTCCTCTTCTCCTTTTAGTTGTCTTGTTTTCAACCATCAACTGCCCTGCAAGAAGGACCTTTCTGGCTTGCTACATTAAAACATGATTATTAATGCTCATTGCTTCAGTGATGCTATCTAACCATCTCATCCTCTGCCGTCCTCTTCTCCTTTTGCTTTCAGTCTTTCCCAGCATCAGGGTCCTTTCCAAAGAGTCCTCTCTTCGCATTAGGCGACCAAAGTCTCTGAGCTTGAGCTTCATTATCAATCCTTCCAATGAGCATTAATAATCATGTTTTAATGTAGCAATCCATAAAGGTCCTTCTTGCAGGGCAGTTGATGGTTGAAAACAAGACAACTGTAAATCATACAGGATCCAGCTCTGGAGTGGATTTCTTCTGCCTCCCTGGCCTTTTTGGCCTCCTTCCAGCTTTTTTTGTTGAGGGGTGGCAACCATGGAACTCCTCCCTCAGTCACATGGCTCTCTCTTATTTGCAATGCTCCAAGCTTGGGGGGAGATTCATTTTGGGGGACAGGAAATGGCAGCAGTGCTACTGAGACGAGCTGCTCTAGCTGCTGTCCCTTGATGGGATAAAATAGAGCTAGAAAGACTCTGTTGCTGTTCCTACAAAAATGGGACTTCCTCCTTCGTGGTGACAGTGAAATGGGGCCTATTTTATGGCTTATGGGCCTGGTGAAGACCTTTCTCCACAGAGATAATGGTCTTCTGGGAGCTTCCAGTTGAGACCTGATTAGAAATGGCAGCCAGAGCGAGGAGGTCTCATTTCTGAATTACTTTGCACAAATCCCATATTGAGTTGAAAGTCCAGTTTGATCTACTGGGGTTCAAACCCAACTTGTTTCTCATTGATTGGTGCATTTCCATTGGAGACGATCTTTCATCAGCTGCTTCTTGTTTTCCAGTTTGAAGCTGCGTGGGCATTAACAAACATTGCCTCAGGCACCTCACTACAAACCAAAATAGTTATTGAGGCCGGGGCAGTTCCAATCTTCATTGAATTGTTGAGTGCTGATTTTGAAGATGTCCAAGAGCAGGTGAGGCCTTTTCCAGGTGAGCTTGTAGCTCAGATTTGGGTTACTGGTTTCATGGCAACTCTTTAGCTTTGGTTCATTCTCTCTAAAGGATTTCTATGATAGAACAGCTAGCTCAGGTTCTGAACATTGCATGTGGTCAACAGAGTATCCTAAAAGGGCAGCAGCCTCCCAATTAAAAAAAAAAAAATAGAAATGCCCAAATCTCACAAGATTCGGGTGGTTTTTTTTATTTTAATTTAATTGAGGAGATGTCTGGGGCTTGGAAATGGCTGTGTTCTAATTACTTTGCATTGCTTGTCCATCTCTTCAGCTATCCTACCACATTGTAGGTTTATAATTATATTTTAATTATGGTGGTTATCACATTACACTGATAACTTGCTTTTCCCCTGGGAGTTCGAGGTAGCATATGTTGGGGGTGGGGGTCGAAGTGAGGCCTTCACTCAGTTTATTCTCACAACCCTGTGAGGTAGGTTGGCCCACAGGAACACAACTGGCCCCGTATCACCCCGTGCTTCAGTGGTCTAACCGCATAACTGGAGCTGTTGTGATGGCACAGATGTGTCAGACTGCTCGGGGAGAAGCAAGCTGCTCTGTGTGGCACTGAGACCTGGCACAGTTGGCAAGAAAGCACAAATGGAAGGGTTGGATTATAGAATGGGGATGAAATAATCAAATATGGGTAATAACCTTCTAGAGGAGTGGTAGCACCGATGTGGTGCATTGGCCAGGCTTCTGCAACCAGGTATCCTCCGCAAGCTGGGGGTGCCAGGTTGAGAAAGTTGCCTAGACAAGTTGAAAAGTATTTTGCACTGTGTTTGTTACAATAATAACCAACAGCAAGGAGGTGACTCTGGTCAGCAGTTCATTCGAAAGGCCCTGAGACCAACTTCCTGCTTCACTGTTGCTCTTAATATACCTCCTTCAAGGACTGAGTCCTGAAGCCTCTGCTCTTCTTCCAGGCTGTCTGGGCACTGGGGAACATCGCTGGAGACAGTTCTGCCTGTCGTGATTATGTCCTAAATTGTGGCATCCTTCCTCCTCTGCTGTTGTGAGTAGAGTTGCTGCTGGGAGAAATTCCACGACTTCTAAAAGTGGTGCTTGTGGCACCTTCATTTCCTCAGACTGCAAATGCTGAGTGGGGCAAACTTGTCCTACAACCTTTCTTCACAACTGATTTCCTCATTTTCCCCAGACTATCCTGGCTACTAGGACTGTTCATGGGAATACTGTTTCTTTACTAACAAGTTCCTAAGCCCTTAAATATTTTGGCTCAAGCCCAAAGGGGGTAAAGTGGGCTTAAGCATCATTTGCTTATATTTCAGGCTCCTCACAAAATCTACTAGACTGACAATGACACGAAATGCTGTCTGGGCTTTGTCAAACCTGTGCAGAGGGAAGAACCCACCCCCAGAGTTTGAGAAGGTAAGATCCAAACATGTATTGCTCCTATTTCCCCAGACACAGGCATATCTTTGTGTTCCACAGACTTTAGGTGATAGATATCTGGGCTCCCATTAAGCCTCACCTCCTGCTCATATCACTTAACTCTCCTTCACGTGTTTAAAAGCACCTGAAGTGTAGTGGAGTAGCATAATGTGAAAACAGTAAGATGTGTGCCTTCTGGCATGTGCTCATCCTAACTCAAGTCTTGATAGGGCTGATTGCAGTCTGAGCATCTTGTACAAAGTTCACTATTTTATTCTCCAACAGACAAGAAAATGGGTGTAAGTAAAAACTCTAAGCCAGAGTTACTGCTACAGATATACCTATGGATAGAGGACTCATTTACTAGCTCTAAGATAAGTGTTCAATGAGATTAGAGCATGAGGCACTGATTTGAACAAACAAAAAGTGTATTTCTGAATTGAACATGAAATGAGAGATTTGATCTTGACACACATAGAAAGTGTAGAGAACTGCTGAAGTCCTGCCACTTCCCACTCCCTCTTGATCTCTTGGGCCTGTGTTCTCATGGTCTCTTGCAATTGTGTTTTTGGGCAGGTGTCATACTGTTTGCCAGTCTTGTCTCGCTTGCTCTTCAGCAGTGATTCGGACTTGCTGGCAGATGCCTGTTGGGCACTTTCCTATCTGTCAGATGGACCCAATGAGAAAATCCAGGCGGTAATAGATTCAGGAGTGTGCCGACGATTGGTGGAATTGCTAATGTAAGTGTACAGGGGCCCATTGTGCTATATCATTGTTTGCGTAGCTATAGCTTATTGAGTAATTGGCTAGATTCACATACTTTGCCATGCCACAAAAAATGGTTTACAGACTACTCTGGCTGAATTCATTGTGCGAAGTTAGATTATGAAGGGTCGATGTTAGAATTCATGGGAGGATATGCCTATAACTATAATAGTATGTGGGAATGACCTTGGGAGACTGGAGGAAGAGCTGCAGACTAGGCAACAGTCAAATAAGAGGCAGCTGAGCCTGCAGAAGGAATGGGGGCATGGCAAATGTCTCAGAAGGGCGCCTCCCTAGTTTCTTGTAGTCTTGTAGTCACCTGTAAAGGTGACGGAGAGATGTACAGGTAGTCCTCACTTAATGACCATTTGTTCAGGGACTGTTTGAAATTACGACAGCGGTGAAAAAATGGACTTACAACCTATGCCCAAAATTATGACTGTTGCAGTGCCCCCACAGTCATGTGATCAAAATTTGGGTGTTTGGCAGCCGTCCACACTTACAACTGCAGGGGCGCTTCAACTCCCTCTACCCACCTATCTCCCCCCAATTTCTGCCCTGTTGGCCCCCTGGCACCCTGCGCTCCATAGCCCCAGCTGCTGTCTCCCTGCTCACACTGCTGACTAGGCATGCCCGGCCTAGCTGCTGGGTCCTATGGGGCTGGCTGAAAAAGCTCCAGGCCAAAATTCAGCACAGAGCTTTTTCAGCCAGCCCCCAGAGTCAAGAGGGGGTCCTCTCGGCAGGGGGCAGTGTCTTGTGACCTTCCCTGCCAGCTTCCCCATTGACTTTCTGGGGAAGCTGGCAGGGAAGATTGAAAATGGTGATCACGTGATCATGGGGCACTTGGCAATTGTAAGCCACTGCTGCTTGCCAAGAGGACTCCCTCTCACCTCAGGCTGAAAAAGCTCTGCTGAAATCTAAGCAGGATTTTCAGCCATGGAAGATTTTCAGCCCCAGAGTGGAGAGGCTACAGAAGTCTCTTGACTCTGGGGCTGAAAATCCAAGCGGTGCTGAGGCCCTCGTGCACCCAACCTGCATCGGATTCTCGTGCACCCTCACCAACCTTCCCATGCACCCCCTTGCTCCCTCCCCCACCTGGTAGCGTCTAGGGCTTGCAACTTCCTGCCAGCTTCCCCACTGACTTTATTGTGGGAAGCCGGCAGGGAGTCACGTCGCCTAACGACTGGGCCATTCACTTAAAAACGGCAGCTGGAACTGCCAGTATTGCGGTTGCTAAGCAAAGTAGCCATGTGATAATTTGCTTAACGACCCATCGCTTAGTGACCTACATTCCGGTCCCAATTGTGGTTGTTAAGCGAGGACTACCTGTACTTTCAGACTTGCAAGATTCTGTTAATGTAACCTTACAATAAAGCTAGAGCTAGTACTCCTGGATGTGCTTCTTGTCTGGACTACCTCGCAAGGTTGACAATAACATTGGAATGTCATGTGCATTCAAGTTAAATCACAGGAAGTTTCACAACAATCATATTTGAATATTTTCTGAATCATTAATTGGGTTGTATCTGAAGTCAGTCCTATTTTTCAAAAGAAGAAGGATGCTAATCTATGCCACGATACTGAGGCAGTTTCCTTGGCTTTAAACTATGGAGTAGCATCAACACGGGGTTGAAGGTGGGCCAGTTGTTTCCCAAGCTTAAGGGAGGATGATGAAACATGTGGTACACAAAGGATTGCTGTAACCCGTCATAGCAATTGAAAAGCGTGTGTGTTCACACTGTCCACCTACACTCCCATCTCCAGTGGAATAAATGGGTAGGGTACTGTGAGCATTCCCAGACTTAAGCACATTCGTGAGAGCTTGAGGAAACACATGAGGTTGAGTGGGGGACTTAAATCCTAGCTTAGTCCATCCTGAACCTAGCGCTTTCCAAGCACGTGGGACTGTAAATCCCAGCAACCCTAACCGGCTGATGGGAACAATAAGGGTGTGACTCCCTCCATCGACCAGGGTGGGGAAGGTGCTTTAATGCAGCAAAGATCTCCCGTGTGCAGGCTCAGCTTCCTATTCCAGATTTTAACTATCCCAGGCCTGGGTCTAAAATGAGTCCCAGTCATAAGAGACGTGCATGACCTGTGGCCTTCCAGATGTTGTATCCCCAGCAGTTTGTGGTCTGTGGTCAACAATATTTGGAGGGCCTTGATTCTCCAACCTTGCCCCCATCCGGTCCCCTGCAGTGCATCATGGTTTTGTACAAACAGGCTTTACTGGGATGTATCTGGTGAAAGAGGCTAAACTTGTGGGTCAAGTTTGGGCGCTCACCCTGAAGGGAACGCTGAGTGTGTTGTTGTCTTCTTCACACAGGCACAGTGATTACAAGGTGGCTTCCCCGGCTTTGAGAGCGGTTGGCAATATTGTGACAGGGGACGATATTCAAACCCAGGTGATGCGAGGGGACAGGTCTTATATTTCCCCATTCCAGGCTCTGGAGAAATCCACCTCTGGGACTTAGTTTTTGCTTCCAATCCATAGTAAGGGAGGCTGTGGAATTTGGCAGAGATACCAGCACTGAATACTCAAACTATGATTTAAAGCTGGCATTTTGCTTTTCCACTTTCCTGTTTATACATGTTTTAACAGTTCTTTTAACTAAAAATAAATTACTGGCACTACCATAACATGGTGGTGTTTTAGCCAAACCAAGTTAGTGGTCCATAAAGATGCCAAAAAACCAGGGACTGTGACTGTGGCACCTGATTGGAACAGAGGTAAACAGCTTCATCCAATCGTACCTGTATTTCAGATGGTACCTCATGATTAAGATAGTTCTCCAAAATTGTAGATCCCCCCCCCCAATTAAACTGTCCCTGCTGCTTTCTTTAGACTAATGAAGAATCTCTTGAGGTAGGGCTGACCTTTAGGCTACAGTTGGCCAGGTACAGCATCCCCAGGTTGCACAAGTTGGGATGTATCTGTAACCAAATGATGATCCTCTCTGATAGATAGGTAGCAGAAGTTTTGAAACGGGCTCGTCTGCTTTTCCTTTCTAGGTGATCCTAAATTGCTCGGCTTTGCCTTGTCTCCTTCATCTGCTTAGCAGCCCCAAAGAGTCCATCCGAAAAGAAGCTTGCTGGACAATCTCCAATGTGACAGCAGGGAACAGGGCTCAGATACAGGTAATAAGCTAATGGAAACAACACTCCTGAGGCTTAAATGACCATCTGCCTTTTGGTCCAATACTCAGACGTCAGAGGCTTCCAGAGGAAAGGTGGAACTCAAATTCCAGTCCCTAGCCTGGTTATGTCCATCACGGTCTCTGGGCATTCACCAGTACGGGTTTTCCTGTACCTGCACAAACATCCTTGGTACATTCTGGAAGTGAGCCATTTTTTTTAGTGCGCTGTGAGACTAGTCTCTCCACTATGGCATACCTATGGAAACCTACATTATTCACCTCATTTCCTTTTGATAGTTGATGTAGTATGTTCTCTATCTTTCTCCCACCCCCCACGAAGATAAGTTTAATGTTACATTTGTGCCACCTTTTTGATGCATGTTTCAGCACTTTACATTCTTTGAGGGCTTTTTCAAAATGTGTTAAACCTGTGTGCCTCTTGTATCTCTTGTGTTTGGGAGAAAATCATTTAGTGGATTCTTGTCTCCATTGCTACAGCATCACAAACCTAGGTTATTACCATTGGAGCATCCGAGCTTAATGTTCCACAGTAGAAGCATAGTCTTCAGGCTTCTCCTACAGAAGCATCAGAACCAGCAAGAGCTACTCTTAAAAAACTGAAGCTGAGTCATCGGCTTGATAGTTTCCTGTGTCCTGGCAGTTTCCCCAACCTGACTGATCCCTTCAGTCAGTAACAGCTTCAAGAACAAAGTGGAAACTGAATCATATTTCTTGGAAGAGCTTAAAGAGGGGAGGTGAAAGGAAAGGAATGTTCTGAATCCACAATAAAAATCTTCACATGTGAAAGATAAGATCTGATAATCAGCTCCTGCTTCTGGAGATCTGTTAGATCACCCAACTCATTATCTTCTTCCTGAGTGCCTGTCCTCAGTCTTAAGGAGAAAACGCTTGCCTTGGCCTTCCCTGTAGGACGGGACCTACTGATGAAGGCTGGGGAAATTGAGAAGTCAGCCTTCAGCTCTATGCAGAGTAACAAGGTATCTTGCTGTGGAAACTAGGTATATTCTTCTGCTTGTCCCTCTGTACAGATGCTTATTCTCTGGGTCTCATTGATCAGAGTATTTGGTACGCTCTTCATTATGGCAGGACTTGTATTGTGATGGTAAAGATAATTCCCAGTCCCATTTTTCTTTACAGAGTACTGTGGTCAGTTTATTTATTTACATCCCATTGAGCTCTGTGGATTCCAGACAGCTGTTCAAAGAACCACTTAAGAGTATTTGGTCATGATTGATAGTCACCCTTACTTTTGCCTTCAGAATCCCCTTTAGCAGTTGTCATTGCTTAGTGTTTCTCACGAGTCTGATCTGCCTCCCCTCAGTAGGTTACATGATTTCGCAGTAATTTACATCAGGATCTTGATTCAGACAATGATTGGTCTTTTTCTTGTCGATCTGTGAAGATTCTGTCAGGCTCAGTCATCACAATTGCTGCTCCTCTCCTACAGCAGTGTTTCCCAACCTGAGCAACTTTGTGACATATGGGCTTCAACTCTCAGAATTCCCTAGCCAATATGGCCATTGCTAAGAAGTCCACACATCACAAAGTTGGCCAAGTTGGAAAACGCTGTTCTACAGCCATTACCTTTTCTATAACCCTTGACCCATCCGGTATGAGGATTGCCAATTCTTACAGGATATGCTGCTGGAAGAGAACCATTTGAGGTTTGACAAGAAGAGGCATTCGGAATAGATCACCAGCTAATTAATACTGATAAATACTGTGTGGACTGTTCCCAGTAATAGTTGGGTCTGTGGCATTACATCATCATGCATGGCTTTAATCTTTCAGCCTGACTGAAGGGGTTTCTAAATGGATTGAAGGATGCGTATTTGATGGCAATGAGTTAGTCCATACCAAGACTGACAGTGAAATGGGACATGTCTATAAATTATGCAGTGGTTCATCATATAAAATTAGAACCTCAAAAAAAATCTTATTTGCTTCCACATAAGCTTTTCAGTTTCTCAGGGTTTTGATAGATTCTGGTTGAGGCTGAATCATTCTGCCATCAGACAAAATTTAGGTGGTAACTACTGAATTCTGTCTACTTATCTGTGCAAGACCACCATATCATTGGTTGTTCATGCATTTCTGCCACTTGTCTGTCCAAAAAATTATTTGAGCACAAATATCAGTGAGTGGCCTCACACTGTTTCATCAGTGAATGTGCAGGAAAACAGTGGCGATACTGTTTTCTCCAATAATTTTCTAAGCCCTGTATATCTCCTAGGGAGGGGAATCCACTTCCCTAGGATGAGAGACTGAGAAAACTGAAGACACAAAATAGGGCTAAAGAAATGCTTGCAGTCTGAAAGACCCTGAAGACATCTGAGATCTTGTTGACATTTTGTGGGACCGACAATACTACAGCTGTATTGGTTTCAGCTAACAGGGCAGAACAATATCTCAAGTTTTGTTACTCCTTGTTCTGGACATCTGGGATGGGTGCATAAGCAAAACGTCTTTCATCTGTCGTCCATCCAACTCTCTGGAAATAAAAACATCCTCACAGATCAACTCTGTCAGATGCCGAAGAATGTACACAAATTGCAGCTGAATCATGGGATGCATGAACTTAACCTTGACCAGGTTAATGCTCTTGGCACAAACCCACACTGAGCTATTAGAAGTTTTTTGCAATAGGATGAATTGGGCATCTCTTGCCACTTGAGAAATGGTTTATGCCTCAGGATCTCAGAATTTGGGACTTTCACTAGTGGAGAGTGATGGTCCCTTCAGTTAATCAGGTGATTGTAGTCCAGCCTTCACCATGCCTTCCTGATATCTAGATTGATTCCCAGAATTCTCAACAAGGGCTATGTTTATTGGGGAATTCTGGGGATTGACTTTCATACATCTGGAAATTAGGAAAATATTCTTTAATGCTGCCCCACTCTGCTTATATACCTCCAAGGGGTAGAAGAAGATTACTCAGTAAGCAATTTGATCTTGTTGAGAAATCTCTCCCGCAAGAAACATCCTGCTTTTGTCCTCTGATCCAGCCTCCTTCAGGCCCGACCAATAGGCCCTGCTGATTTGCTCCTGCCTGCTTGTTTCATCTGCCTTGAGGTGAGTTGTTGGCCACAGTGCCAAGCCTCTTGCTGACGCTGTTCTCTTCTCTGGCCCTCCAGGCAGTCATAGATTCTAACATCTTCCCAGTACTAATTGAGATATTGCAGAAGGCTGAATTCCGCACAAGGAAAGAAGCAGCATGGGCAATCACAAACGCTACATCGGGAGGAACGCCAGAGCAGATTAAGTAAGTTGTAACTTACTCATCAGCTAAGTCTGTCCATTAGGGGTTTTCCCCTTGTAGATTGTGCTGTTCTCTCATTAACAGGTCTGTGAGAACTAAAACTTAAGAGAACCCATGGAGCTCAACCAGCTTAATGCTTTTGGCACAAAAGGAGTTTTATTCTGTTTCCAAATATTTCTTTTAAAAAATCAGGAATTGCATATCTGGATAAAATGAGATAATCCCACGTTAGTTGATATCTAAGGAGCTCCCAGTTAGTAATCCATTAAAACTGTGATTAAGGAATGAGAAACATCAAGGGTAAGAAAAATATAGTTCTGTCTTGCTATCTGCCAACTGAGAAGGAAAATAACCAAATGTAGGATCGAAGCTTGACAAGAAAGTCATGTTCTTGAGATGGGCGGCTGTATAAATTAAATAAGTAAGAAATAAGACAGCTGGTTTCGTCCACCACATTGTATCATCTTTGTAAGAAGGTGATGATTTGGTTTTGATGAGGCAAAAGCTATGTCATACACTTCGTAACATGTGGATTTTATGGCCCTAACTATTCTAATACATGACAGCTGTTGGTTTATCCTTATTTAAAATATTACATAGCTATCTGTTGCTCATAAACAACACTCCTGCATGCTTGGGAAGAGAGGCAAATAATAAACTATAGAATAAAGTATACATATGCTGATACTTCATTTTTTCCCTATTAGTTATAGATTGCTAGCTTAGAATTTTATAGAGAGCCTTAGCATGACTTTTGGATCCTGGCATCTACCAAAATTTCTTATGCATCTTCAGGGTTAAAAGCTTATACACTATTTGCATATCTTTAACCATAACTCATCCCTTTCATGAATTGCTGGGTGTGTCTTCTTAGCAAGCTCTCAAAATCTTCGAATCCCAATTTTACCAGTAGTGTCGGTCTTCTGGATCTTTATGCTTCATTTCCAGATATTTAGTAAACCTGGGCTGCATTAAACCCCTGTGTGATCTTTTGACTGTCATGGACTCCAAGATAGTTCAAGTGGCTCTGAATGGCCTGGAGAATATCTTGCGGCTGGGAGAGCAGGAGGCCAAGCAGAGCGGCGCTGGCATCAATCCCTACTGCAGCCTCATTGAGGAAGCTTATGGTGAGTCAGCCTGCCTGGCTTGAAGGTAGCCGCATGTATTCGCACATGGACGTTCTCAGTCGAGGTTCCCATCTGAGGAATTCCTTCCCAGCGGGGCACGCCTCATGCCCATTTCTCTGTTGTCATAGTTTAAATCAAAATGCATTCATTGGACTGGGATAAACTTTCCTGCATGATTTACGAAAGCATGTTTGATTTAATTTTTTAAATTAATTTTTAAAAAAATCTTTGCAGTCCATTATCAGATAACTCAGAGATGTAGTAAGTAATTCTTCAGTCTTACCTTATTCCATTTCTGCCTCTGCCCTTTTCCTCTCCAATGCTCCCAACCCTCCATGTTCGGATGTGATCATCTACCCCTTATCCTGTGCTGTCTGTTCTGCCTAGAATTATACTATTGCTTCAGTTGACTTGTCCTAACCCGAAGACCTGCAAATATGTTGAAGTACAATCCCATGGTTTCCACCATAGCTGAGAATTATGAGAGTTTCATTTGGAAGCACCAATTTGGGGAGCTCACCATCTTATGGTGTGTAACACTTGGTATTCAGAGACAAGGTCATAAGGGAGCTTGAGATGCAAATGTCGCACCTGTCTGCAACTTCTAAAACCAGATGCTGTGAGCCCAAGAAAAGGCCTCTCTGCTTTAAGGAGTTATGGGTGCTGCGTTCGCACCTCCAAAGTACAGCCTTATGCCATATAGTCTGAAAGGACTTGTGGATCCTTCATATTATTGAACTACAGGTCCCAGGCCCCCTTATCCGTAGCCTTGCTGGATGGGCTTGTTGGGCAAATGATGTTACCCCCCTGAGCTGTAGTACCCAAATGTTTCCACAGGCAAAATTGTGCAAACAGTCAAGATCGTTGTGAGTCAGGGATTTTCTTTTTCACTTGAATGTATAAACCACCCAAACTTCGATGGGGAAGTTCATTTAAATGATGTCTTTCTCCTCCAGGCCTGGATAAAATAGAGTTTCTCCAGAGCCACGAAAACCAAGAGATCTACCAGAAGGCCTTTGACTTGATTGAGCACTATTTTGACAGTGAGGACGATGACTCCACTTTGGCCCCCCAAGTAGACGAAGCTCAGCAACAATTCATCTTCCAGCAACCCGAGGCCCCCATGGAAGGCTTCCAGCTATAACCGGTGTGCCGAATTGAGGGGAAGAAGACCGTCCCTTTGAGGGAAAGTAACCTGCAGAGAGCCTTCCTGCCCCCAGCCCTGTTTCTTTCTCTGCCACGCAGAAGGCTGCAGTGCCCGCTCCACCTGTTGCCAAACAGCTTTCTCCTTTGCCGACACACAGCAGGAGTTGTTTGCTCTTTTCTAAAGAGGAGATACTCTTACACACTATTTTTTTTCATTTTTTGCTGCACGAGTGTGTCAAAAAAGCAGGTGCTGAAGTGGATGGAGGAGGGAGGTGTAAATCACTTATGCCTTCTAGTTTGTGGTTTTCCTCCAGGTTTTTTCTTTTTCTTTTGTGGTGTATTATTTTTTTCTCCTCAAATGAGATTCTTCACTTGGGTACTTGAGAGATGACTTTTTTCCCCCAGTGGGAGAAGGCAAAATAACATGAATCATAACCAAGGAATCTAATCCTGGATGCTTGGGTTCAACTATTTAAAAAAAATTGCACATCTTAATTTTTATTAAAGACTCTTCTTAATCTGCCAAATGCACCACTTTGGCCCACACTGGGGTTTTTTTTTGGGGGGGGAGGGGGAATCCTCTTGCCAAACAGCACCTTTTGAGGGATTTGGGCCAAGTTGCTGCTGTTTTTGCCCCTCTCCTCTAGTTCTATATATATATATATCTATATATCTATATAGATAATGCTCCTGTACAGAGATGCAGGATGAATTGGACTGTCCCATCAGGCATTGGGAAGATTTCCCTGGTCATGTGGGGAGAGGATTTTTTAAAGGAATTTAAAGATCCAACAGAGCAGCAACCCCTACCACCTCCTGAAGATCCAGTCTTAAGGGGAAGGCACAAAAAAGAACTCAAAAGCACAGCTGCCTTTGAAGGTGGACTTGACTTACATTTGCTACTGACTGAAGTGTTGAACTGGTAGAAGAAACCCCCTCTTGCATCTTTACTTGAAGAAAAAAAATTGCAAAACTCATTGAAGCCTTTTGGTTTGTGTCATTTTATTTTAAATTTTTCTTTCTCTTGGACAGCTGGGGTGGGGACGACTCTGCCGTGTTTCTTGAGAAGGGAGTGGTGGAGCTACCTGGGATGGCTCCTCATTTGCCCTCAGTTCCAGCAGTCAAGTGGCCTGTGTTTCTCAGAATTACCTCCTGCTCACAACTGTATCGTGTACATTTTACTTCAAAATGAAGAAGTCAAAGCTCTGTATTTTTTATATATTATATATACATGTAGACATTTGTCTAATTTGGTCTCGGGGAGTGGGGACTAATTCTCTGAAGTGCTGATAGAGAGGATGCTCTGTGGCAGGCCCGCCCAGGAACACGGCCATAAGGAACTCACGACAGCTGCGGTTTTCTTGTGTTCCCCTCTTTACCTACTGTACGAGCCACACAATTTGGTGACCACCCTTTCCCTGTAGAAAGACTGGCCAGCAGAAAACGAGAAGCCGTTGGCTTGTCACTTGGATGGTGAGGCCCCTTCAGGTGTCTTAATTAAAGCTTAGATGATGTACACAGCCCCTTCTTTGCTCTCCACCATTTGAATAAGGTTCTCAAAGCCTTCCAGAACAGAGATTCAGGCAGGTGTGAAGTTGGATGTGAAAGCCTTGGGCTGTATTTTGTAATAGAGATTTGCTTTTCATTGTTTAAAAAAATGCCAAGGAAGTTTAATAAACTACATCTCTGCATTCAATGACTGCAATCCACATGTGATTGGAATGAAGGTGTTTGTTTTTTGGGGTTTTTTTGGCAATGTCTGGCCCATTGGTGGAATAGCATGGCTGCTTTCATTTCATTCTTGCAGCGATGGCACAATCGCCATCCTTGGAATGGGAGCCAAGGCTGTGCTGGTTTGCTTTTGGGAATCATGGCTGAGTTGGCTCTCAGAGGGCCAGACGGTACCAGGCAAAGATTTCAAAGAATCACAGACTGATCCCCCTCTTGCTCAAGGTTGAGATGTTTACAGCAAGAATTGTATGTTGGTAGAAATTAATATTTGTAACGAAATGCAGTGCCTTTAAAGGAGAACATTTATTTATTACATTGAGAAGTTGCATAACTCCAAAATGACTCTGGGTGGCTTACATAATTAAAAGAGAAAACAAGCAAAGAAGCAAAAAACACGCCCGGGTTAAAAAAAAAGTCACCCAGTACCTAAAATACTACCCAATAGTGTCAGGGGCTCGCAAACAACCTAACCCCGGGCCTGTGAGCAAAGCCATGGTTCTAAAAGACTTTGGAACCCTTGCAAGGTGGGAGCCGTATGCATTGTTGGGGTGGGGTGAGGATGCTGTTCCAGAGGGCGGGTACTATGACAGAGAAGGTGCATTTCCGGGGTCCTGCTAGATGTTCATTATACACTTTCTAATGAACACCCCCAGCCCATACCACAAAGGCCTTTATACACTTCAGCCATTCACTACCTTTGTAGCTAAAGAAAACTTGCTGGGATCCAATATGTTTGGGCAGCAACTTTTCCCAGGATTGTGCACTGGTTTCACGATCCTGGGAATAGGGCTGGTCCTTCAAGAATTACGCAGCAGCATTTTCTTTGTGCTCCAAAGCACCTCCTTTGCTTTCAGATCTGACACGCTGCATAGCTTTCGTATGCAATTCCAAATACTGTAATCCAGAACGCAGAGACAAATGCTACAAGCATATTAATAAATATATTCACATATTTACTCAGATGTTTGAACAAAGTAAAATTGTTGGAAAATAACCTTGGTTCGGAATGTTCAGGAATAAATACCATAAATAATTCACTCCCTGTTAAACTTAAATTTTTGGTGGGTCTGCAGCATGCAGATTGTCACCTTTTACTTAGGTATCCTGGTCCAAAACCACGTCTTCCCAGAAGAGCAAAAGCGTTTGGATTGCACAAAGCAGTATGAAGCTGTGAAGCTGTATTTATATACTGCAAATATTATGACCATGTAAGTCCCTTTATTTAGGTACTGTTTTTGATTTCCCAGGAAAATCAGGATGCTTTCAAGGAGGGAGGGAGGGAGGGAGGAAGAGTGTATTAGGGAATTTAAGCCTGACTTCACCATGACTTCATAGTCACAAATAGACTGTCCGGTATAGAGGTGGATTAGGTTTTATCAAGGACTCTCACAACTTATGAAGAAGAAGAAGCAGTCTGTCTTTTGGAAATGAAATGTATTAAATGAATTCCATAATAATTAGGACTTTGTTGGGGGGGTGTCATTCAGTATATCAAAGCACAAAGTCAAACAAGAAACCTCAAAATCTGGATTCCCCTGAATAGTTACTGGGGGAAATCTCAGGCCCCAAGCTAGCATTGATATGTGTCGCAGCTGTGAAAACAGTCAACTTCATGTTAGGAGCCATTAGAGAAAAGGACTAATGATAAAAGTGATATTTTGTATATATAATTTATAAAAATATAACTTTTATAAATTTGTGTTCACTTTTATAGTATTTAAGAAAATGGTTCAGTATTAGGTATAGAACGCATAACAAGTTACGTACTGTATTCAGCAAACTATTTTAAGAATAGCCATGTTTAAACTTGCTGTGCGCCTAGAACAATCTTAATTAAATATTTACATTTTGGGCCATTATAGAATTACCCTCAGGATTATGATTGGCAGCACTTTGAAGACATGATTGGTTGATTAAATCAATTTATATGGCGACCCATCTCACAACTCCGGGCAACTAACTAGGTATTAAAACAATAAGGATATTAGCAGAATAAAAAACCAACAATGGTCACCAAGGATGAACCCAAGAAGACAATAAACATTAACCTCTCCACAGGTATATTCCACTTTTTTGGAAATGAGTCATATGGAAGTATAGTCAAGACCAGGGTTTTCCAAACTTGGCCACTTTCCCTGGCAAAGACCATCAAGTGCATGAATGAAGCAGCAGGACCAGTCCTTTTGAGATTGATAGACTGGATGGATGGATGGAGATAGACACACTGGGTTTTAAAAAATATTTTTCTTCTTTTGCTTTTTCTTAATTTTTTAAGTTTCCACACAATTTTGTTCGATTGTGCGGTTTTCTTCAGTGCAGTGTTTTTCAAACTTGCCACTTTAAGATGTATGGACTTCAACTCCCAGAATTCCCCAGCCAGCATGGGTGGACTTCAACTCCCAGAATTCCCCAGCCAGCCATGTTCGAAGTTTGAAAAACACTGCTTTACCGGATCAAGGTGTTTCGCCCATTTATTCCTCTATGGTATTTTGAAAAATACAGATTTTTTTTTTAAAGAGGGGAAGCAAGCTTCGGGCCCTGTCTGGCCGGGGTGGATCCCGCCTCCTCTCGGGCCTTGAGGCGCTCGGAGGCCGAAGCCGAGCCCGACTGGTGGCGGCCGATCAAGGCTGCTTGGCTTGGATGTTGCTCAGGCCTGCTTTAAAGACTCAGATCACTGTTTTATGCTAAATAAAACATTATATTATAAATGCATTACCGCCCGAAGCGCGCCCACATTCCCACTAAGCCAGCAAGAAGCCGAGTCCTCGCCCCCAGGGAATGCTGGGAATTGTGGTTTTCAGGCCACTATCGCCAGGCTTCCTCCGCCGAGAGCGATGGCCGCCGGGAGCTGTAGTCCAATCCAGATTCCCGCCTCGGGTGGCGCTTTTTCTTCTGACGTTTCCCAGCATGCTCTTCCCGGTCCCTCCCGCTGATTGGCCGCCGGCAGTTAACAGCGCAGGCGCAGTGCGAGTCCGGGCTGGAGCTGCTTCCTCGCAACCCTGCAGAGCTTTGAGGAACCGCTGAGCGGAGGGAGGCTGGAACGAGAGCCCGGCAGCCGCCGAGCAGAAAGGAGGAGGAGGAGGCCTGGGGAGCCGCGCGAGGACAGCGGAGGGCCGGGGCGGGCGTTCTTCTGGCTCGCCGAGTCGTTCGGATCGCGTCATACTTCTCGGGCGTGACGTCAAGGCGGCAGGGAGTGACGTCAGCGGCGTGGGAGTGACGTGGTAGTACGGTGGGAAGAAGCCTGTGGAGCTTCTCAGGGGAGGAGGAGGAGGAATAATAAACCCAACGGAAGTAGTCCTGGTGCCGCGGATAATGGGAGTGGGGCCCCAAGGGCGGAGGGGGAGCGGGAGGAGGGCGAGGACTCCGCGGCCCCTTTGCAAAGCGAGCTTCCAGCGGAACCTAAAGCAGCTGGACGGACCCTGCAGGGCGGCCCTACGCCGGGCCGAAGGAGCGAGATCCTGGCCCGGGGGGCACCGGCGCTGAGGCAGGCAGTTGGGGGCCGGGCGCTCTGGGGAGGGAAGGCCTTGGCGACGGGGCTGGGGAAAGCGAGCATTGAAGGGCCATTTCAGGAGGGGCTTTTGGGGAGCAGGAAGAGGAGTGGTGGGGGACGCGGGGCCGGGGGAAAGAGGAGGGAATTGCGGAAGTTGGGCCCCCTGTGGAATGGCTGAGGAGGCGGATCGGAAGAGACCACCCTGGAGGATCCTCGGGAGAGGGCCCGAGAGCGCCGGGTTGTCTTTAAGTACTCGGCATACTCTTGCAGGCTGTTCCTGGGAGTGGTGCCTTTCGGGGCTTATGCAGAAACGAGGCTGGCCGTCACTTTTTGAGATGCCTGTAAAGGGTGGGAGCCAAGAGGGATCCCTGAATTTGTGACTCTCCAGTGTGCTGGCAGCGACAAATAACTGAGCTCTGCTTTAGGCAGGAGCGGTGCGACCATGCCCCACCGGCCAACCTTTAAATCAGTGGCAGAGAAGTGGAGTCGGGAAATACAAGGACAGTAGCAACCATAATATAGTTATAAAAAAAAAAGAATATTCCCAAATCGAGGAAAAGAAACAGATTTCTCTTACTGTCTGAGTGTGTGTCATGTCTTTACTCGCTTTGCAGTATTGCTCTGCCAAAATATCTTTAAGTGCAGCTCCCAGTTACAAGAATTTACCCAATCCTATGCTGAGGCCATACTATTCCCTTGGCAAACAGATCAATCAGTGATATTCTGCAACGTGTGACAGCAATAGTTGCTAGTACATTGAGAGAAACTCTTAAAATTGCCACTTGTTGGCTGTAACATTGGTGTTCCTATGGCTACATTTTACTCTTTATTTGTATGTGTGCTGTTGCCTTACCTGACAGTGAATAATGATCCCAAAATAATAACCCTTGTTTTTCTTTTACATAGAAACTGTTGAAAGTGGCTTTGAAGGCAAGGTACAATGAAGAATCAAGATGGTGAAAGCAAAGCTTCTCTTCTACCCCCCAGCCCTTCCAAAATAAGTGATAGTCTGGGGCTGGAAGATAGTGACTTAGCTGAGGCTCCAGGAGTGATTGCAGGAAGTGGAGATTGTCACCACCAACTTGGCCTCTCCAGCTTGAAGCACTTTGCTGATGACAGGCTTGAAATGCCAGTGAATGAGGAACAGAGGAAGAAAGAAGAGGGTGTGTTTCCCTGAGACTCATAGTTTTATTTCTATTTAAACTTACAGTCTTGGGCCACACCATCATCTGAGACAATGTCCTTTCCTAATTCTCATAGCAGCTGTGTTTTGATTTTTTCTCTTTGAACTTCTCCCCTCTGAATATTAAATGGTGTTTTATACTTGAATTTCTACTTTCTGCAGCATGTCTGGTGGAGGAGGCTGTACCCCAGCCTTGCCAGCCAGTCCCTGATGTCTCTGAAGAGCTGAGCAGACAGCTGGAGGACATTCTAAGCACTTACTGCAGGGACTCCAACCAGGAAGGCCCTGGAGATGACAACGGTCAGAGTGAGTCTGTGGAGCTGGACGAGCCAGAGAAGTGCCGAAGCGAGTCCCCCAGGAATGGGGACCAGGAGCAGAGTTGCCCCGAGATCAATGGCGAGAAGGAGGGTCCCAGGGGAACCGGCGATGAGAGTGGAGAGCGTGACCAGAAACGGGTCCAGGAGAAAAAGAAGCCCAGAGGGCTTGGTAGGAAATGTTCTGCTGATGGTCCTCCATTCTCTTTCTTCTTCCAAGGCAGTAAAGAGGATCGGGGAAGGGACATGTGCACAGAGGCTACCCTATTCCCCATCCCCCTCCCCCCATTGCTAAATCGTTCCAGCTTTCCATATCCTTGAGGAAAATTGCAAGGAGAGCACCAGGAGTTAAGATGTTGGTCTTGGATAGGGCAACTGTGTTAAATCATTTTGGGTGATTTCTGGCAGCTCAAACCCGCCTACTTTTTAAGGTGGTTGTTGTGAAGCTAAAATGCAGGGAGGCTCCCAACTAACTTACTTTGAGCTAATATAGCAGGATATAACTGGAAATATTGCTAATTTTATTTTTCACATTCTAGAGGCTTTTTGGTTCCCAAGACACTGCTGTTCCCAAGTCCCTCTAATGCTGCCACTGTGTCTTTCTGCTTGTTCTGATGAGTCTTTGCTTTGTCCTTTGCATTCCAGGCAAGGAGATCACCCTTCTGATGCAGACCCTCAACACTCTCAGTACATCTGAGGAGAAGCTGGCAGCCCTCTGCAAGAAATATGCTGAGCTGGTCAGTGCCTGGCAAAGCGAGAGGGGAAGCTGAGTGGGCAGGAGAATTTTTCCCACTCTCATCTCTGCAGGAAAATGGGTTGCCTAAGGGGAGTTGGGTGTGTTCAGATCATCTTTGCTTGGGCAGTTGCAAGAGATAAAAGAATCATCAGTTTTCAACCCAAACTGCAAAACTTTATATTCCTTTTGGGACCTAGTGTGGCAGCACAGTTTTATTTCTTGAAACAGGGTGGCTGCTTGACTCTTTTGTAGCAAAAATAACAGAGTTTAGTGGTATCTTAAAAAGCAACAAATTTATGATGATGTGAAAATTTATGGAATAGTAGCGATTAATTTTTAAGATAGCAGAAGCTTTTTTTTCTTGTTTATTTTAGGTGTCCAAATTGGTTTTTAAGCTTTAATTTGCATGGTTCAGTTGTACTGAACTAGGCCAAATGTAAAACTAACTCAGGCACAAGACCTTCCCAGAAGCTTCTGTGATGTTATAAAGTAGTTGTGTGAGAGAGAAAGAGAGAATAATATAGGAAGCCTGAGTAAAAATACTGGAAAATATTTATTTTAAAATGCTGCCACATGTTTCAGGGGGTATCTTCTTCTTCAGAGACAATTTCTGTTATTTTTGCTGAAACGTAGAAAAGATCTACATTGAGTTGCTTTACTCACAAGCTTCCATAATAAATAAGCACTGATGTTCTCTGTCAGCATCCTTGATGTTCAGCAAAGCTGGGATGAGTGTTGTTTAAAAAGGCTGGTTAATTTAACAAATCATGTCTGCATTGGAGCATATTCAAGGGTAATGTAGAGTGAAAATAACCAATACCTAGATGATTGCACCCCTGTAGGAGTTACAAAGGTTTAGGGCTGCATTTCAGGTGTGCTAGAATTGCTGAAATAAAGAAATGTATCCTGGTTGATCCCCAGTTTTTGAAGTTATAAAATAAAGTGGTTCCTTGGTTTGTGGAAAATAAAAGTTGAGAGAAGTGAGGTAGTTCTTTGTATTTACAGAGCAGGAGATTAATTTGAGCTTGTCTAATAATACTGTGCTTAAAAAAATAAAATTGGAGCCTGATAGTTAGAAGGTCTGACTTCAGAGGATAAACATATATTTGCCTTTTCTTTTTTGTGAATTGGAAAATATTTAGTCATCCAAGAGTGGGAGGTTTAGCTGAAGTTAGAGAATATCAAATCAAAAGAGGTTGGGATTTGAGATCTTGTCCAAAACTTGGTAATTTTATGAAGCAGCTTTGAAGTCTTTAAAGAGATGAGAGTTGGCAGAAAGAGATTTGGATCATAATTTGTTATATTTTCATCCTGCTATTTCCTTAGGAGCTCAAGGTGGCATATATAACATGTTTCCTCATTTTAGCCTAGTGGCAGTGACTTAGCCAAAGTTGCTTAGGAAAGTCTGCAAGTGGATAGGGATTTGAATCTGCTCTCCTCTTCCAGTCTTTAGCCCCCCTCTTGCCTCTCTTTGAAGCCCTCTTTGACTTCCCTCCTCAATTATATTTTTCACCATTTTGAGGCAGAAAATATGGGAAAAATGGAGTTTTAAGCATGTGAAATAGAATTTGTGAAACTGCAGTCAGCCACTCTCAAAAATTCTCTGTGTTTTACTAGAGGAGAAGGGTGTTCCTCAGGAGTCTAGTGTTGGGTTCTGTCCTTATCTAGCCAAAAAATGCTTCCTTTTTCCCTTTTTCTTCATATAGAAAAAAGAGAGGAGATATACTTGGTAAAAATATTGCCCCCTTGATTCTGTTGGCTTTGCTAAACTAGCTTCATCGTGTCTTTGTTACCTAATATGGATGTGATACAGAAGTAATTATATAAACAAATAGGAGTAATAAAGGAATACCAGATAAAAATAGAATGGATGAAGAATGTTTCTATTCCTTTTGAGGAATAGAATGGAAGGGAATTGGTTGGCTAGTCCCTTTGTTGTTTAGAAATCTGGTCTTCCAGGTTGATGGAGCATAGTCTTCTCCAGGATAGGTTGCTGTGCTGAAGGCCATGTTGTATAGAGAAGTTGGATTTGTTGTTTACTTTTTGACACTAGTGGTAATTATTTCCCATACCTTGGCTATCACTTGGAGAGAAGTACCATTCAGGGGCAGACACGAAAGTGGCTTTTAAGGGCCATGCAGAGTTACAGGGGATCACCTGTGGCTCATGTATCATAGCTTGGCTGCCCCATCCTACTTCAGCCATCTTCACTCTGGTTCTCTCCAGATACATTGGCTGATATCACCCACCATCCTTGGTTTGCTGAATCATAGTCCCGTGTGTCTGCAGAGTGCTTGGTTGGCAAAGGCAGAGCTAGTCAAAGAGGGAAATACATTAGCAGCCGTATAAGGGACGCCTCTGTCGGAGCCTTTCTCCTCCACAATCGTAGAGCAGTGTTTTTCAGTATTGTGGTGTCTGTTGTTCCTTTCTGGCCTACCTCAAGGAGCTGGCAACTTTGTCACTGCAGTATTAGCATTTTCTAATCCCCCCGGCATGCTTTTATTTTTCAGGGAGATTTTCCTGTCATTTTTGCTACATGATACAGTCCTTCCTTATTTTGTTTCCTTCTCTTGTGTCCCACCAGTTGGAAGAGCACCGAAACTCTCAGAAGCAGATGAAAATCCTGCAGAAGAAGCAGACTCAGTTGGTGCAGGAGAAGGACCATCTCCGAAGTGAGCACAGCAAAGCCGTTTTGGCCCGCACCAAATTGGAAAGCCTGTGCCGGGAGCTGCAGAGGCACAACCGCACTCTCAAGGTATGTGAGACTGGTTGATGCCAGACTGGTGAATTGTTACAGCCTACCTTGGCTCCCCCTCCACCGAACCCCACCTGTCAGAGCCCAGAGTGGCGGCTCATTCCAGTAATTTTCCAGGTGTCTACTGGCCCTTTGGGAGACAGGAAAGGGAAGGCGGGGTGGTCCTTTCGGCTGGCTCAACACTCTGTTCAAGGAGGGGGCGGGTTACAGTTAGGATCTAACCATGACAGGGCTGCTGACTGTATTTTGTCCTTTGCCTCTAGTGCAGCTAGGGCAGTCTGGTATAATAAAACAAGTGCATATTTTTAAAAAATACAAAATAATAAACATCCTCTCTCCATAATGGAAAGAATAATTAGCATATTGCCCACAGTCCCAAGCTGTGAAATCCTAGAACCAAAGTACATTCCCAAAGCTTTGAAGTCCAGCATATTGAGGGCATTGCTTAGTCCCTCCCACCTGTCACTACGTAACAGGCCGAGAAGAAGGGTAAAGTGTCTAATTTGGATCTGTCTGTCTGTCTGTCTGTCTGTCTGTCTGTCT